CTAACAATGACATTGGGACGTCAAACATCTCAGTCCCCCCCGTGACCATGGTTGCTGTAAAGCACCCGAAACGTTGGGAATTAAAAATAAGTAAAAGTAGTGAAATAAACGCTATAAAATCCGTAAATTTAGTTTTATTCAATGTAAAATAAATTTAAAAAATCATTATGTAAAAGGCATACTCAACTTCATGTCTTAGTGCATTAGCGCTTTGATACGTGGAGTTTTGTTCACTGGCGTCTTAGTACGTGATACTACGATACGTTGGTGATATTTTTTTGTTAATAACAATACAAACTTTGTTACCAAAGTCGATAGGGATCATGTGGGTGTGTCTTGAGGGGGCGCCATCCGTATGATAGTTGCATTGATGCTTACTGCTACTTGCGGTGTTGCGTCTTGTGATGGATCTGCGGCTGTGCTGCGCCTGATTCGACGCTCTCTTGTGGTTCTGGTCGATGGAGGTATGCGGGTGGTGATGTCTGCTGGGATGTATGGGGGACCTTGGGATGGTGTAAGCCTGACGATAGTTGTATTGATGCTTGTTGCGTTCTGCAGCATTGCGTCTCTGCGATGGTTGTTTGGTGGGACGCTATTCTCAATGGTGTTCTCTGCGTCTTGGTTTGACTCACACCTAAGTAGCTTTGCCCAGTCGAGTCACTTCATTACGGGGCTGCAGACTGTCTGCCCTACACGATGTTTTATATAACAACATAATAATATATCTCTGTAACTTTCCCACCTTTGATGATTGAAGGCAACTTGTTGGTGGGTGAGACAAACATGATCGAAAATGCATTTACTCAACGTCAGTGACACAAAACCTTTCTGATGGCAAATTATTACTAACAACTTATAACTGCCTTTTGGCTATATCTGCCGTTGTATTGGTTGGTGGAGCATATGTGTCGACCTCATGCGGGTGGTAGCTGGCGGGAGGATCTGAGGAGACTCTCAAGGCTGCGGCCGAAAGCCGCACAACGTGGGACCCCATTCCCTTGAGGTGAGCGGTAGACTCATGACACGCTCTGCGGCTAGTAGCCGTGCTGATCATGCAATTGGTGGTGATGCCATACACTTACATCACGTCTGCAGGAGCGGCGATCTGGCAGGTGGTGGCGCTCACGGAGGGTTTAGAGTACCTATTTGTCTAAACCGTGTGACGTACATTCACTGTGGCTGGATTCGTTCGTATTCTGTATGGCGTTTACACGCATTGACGCACGCATTGTGAGCCTTTTCCAAGCGGGAAGGGATAAATAATAACAAATTAATAATGTAAACCTGATGCAAGTGGAATAAGGACGTTTTATGTTCTTAACCTTTCTCGAGCCCTGTCTTCGTGAACGGGGTTCACTTAGCTTATAAGGAACTACCAACAGCTTTCAATTGCTCTAGTGAATATTCATTCTTCCAAAAGACACCGCAAAGAACTAAGTTACTAAACAAACACAACGTAAATAAGGGTCCTAACTAAGACGATCACGCCAAAATATCACAAACGGCCTATTATTAAACCTTTAGAAAGATCATTTAGAAAGATTAAAACATATCTTATATATCTTGGTCACAAATATATATAATTTTATTGAGTAGGGGTAAATTAATTATAATAATTTTATTTAATATAATATTATTTTTATATAAAAGGGGGGGGGAGCGTTACAGTATGTATGTATGTATGTGTGTGTATGTGTATACGTGCGTGCGTGCGTGCGTGCGGGTGTACGTGCGTACGTGCGTACATGCGTGTGTGCGTGCGTGCGCGTGTACGTGCGTGCGTGTGCGCGGGTGCGCGTATGTGCGTGTGCACGTGTGCGCGTGTGCGCGTGTGGGTTGTGCGCGTGTGCGCGTGTTTGCGTGTGCGTGTGTGTGTGTGTGTGTGTGTGCACGCATGTGCGCGTGTGCGCGTGTGCACGTGTGTGCGTTTGTGCGTGTGTGTGTTTGTGCGTGTGTGCGCGCATATGCGCGTGTGAGCGTGTGTGCGTGTGCGCGTGTGTGCGTGTGCGTGCGCGCGCGTGTGTGGGTGTGTGTGTGTGTGTGTGTGGATGTATGTAAACCTCTTATAACTTTTGAACGGCTTAACCGCTTGAATTGAACTAAGCGGATTGTCAAAGTGTTTCATCAATCTTAGATTTCCTATGTATTTTAACTTATTCCCAAAAATAAAAATTTTGAAAAACTGTTTTCTTGGAATAACTTAAACGGCTTTATTGATCGATCCCAAAAACTAATCAGCTTTTAACCTTGAAAAACCACGTCGAACGCCACTGGTCTGGTCAAAATCGGTTGATTTGTTCGTGAGATATCGTTTCCTTCGTTTCACAGTCTCAGGTCGTATCGGTCCGGAAAAATCGCCGATAGTAAACTATTCCACATAGAGGTTGTACGCGGTCCTTGTGAAACATACAGTGATGGACCGCCAGCATCCAGATGGTGTGGATGGTATCGGGAGGTTTGCCGCGTAGTGCGTTCACGAAATTTGGCGGCTGGATTAATCCGAACAATTCCTCAGAGCTCTCCCCGTGATAGATGTGATAAAATACGCAAAGAGATGCAACATCTCTTCGCAGCGCCAGTGAATCGAGCCGATCGGAAAGCACTCGGTCGTCGCCGATTTGAGCCGCTCTGCGCTGGATGTGGTCAAGTGGAAGGAGCAGGCACTGGGGAGCCCCAGCCCAGAGATGGGAACAGTATTCTATGTGCGGCCGAAACTGTGCCTTGTAAAGTTGCAGGCGGTGAGCCGGCATAAAATACTGTCCCGTTCTGCTGAGCAGGCCAAGCTTTTTAGAGGCCAATTTGGCGTTCTCTTCCAAGTGACCACGAAACTGCACGTCACTCGATATGTCGACGCCGAGGATTCCGATACTGGCTGAGGCAACAAGGGGAGTGCCTTGAAACTGAGGAGATACGACAAAGGGGTTATTTTTAGTGGTTAACGCGCCAACTTGTGTTTTCTGAGAGATAAGTTCAGTTCGCGGTCAGTCGCCGCGCAAAGTGGACACGTTCACTGCAGTTAACGCGTAAAGCTTTATTATCAACTAGTGCGTTACGTTCAAGATTGTGTTCCTAAAAATAGATCTTCAATATTGCTAATCTAAATAACCATGCAAAGTGTAATTTGCCAAGAAACTGTCAATGATTGTGTATCGTGCTATGGTTGCAAAGACCATCGCTGCTACGGCTGCACTGGCCTGGAAAAAAAACTATTGTAGATTCAATCAAGACAAAAAATCAGCATGGAGGTGTGCTCACTGCAAGAATACAAAAAATTAACCATCGATCAACAAAGTCATATTGAAAGAGATCCGTGACATTAAAAGTAGGGTTAACTATATACTGGAAATGCTGGAAGATGTCAAGACCATCAAGTGCAAACTAGAGGAGCTAAAAGACGCTTGCAATGAAAATAACAAGCGATTGGACGAGTTCGACGCCAGAATTGCAACAATGGAGGAAAACGTACCAGAGATCAATAATATCAAGGACAACGCGCCTTGATTTTGGTCGCATCCACCATGAAGTTTTACTTAAGGAGCAGTGGTCTCGGCTGAACAATATCAAGATCTAGGGTGTGCCTATTAAAACCGGTGAGAACCTATTTCAGATTCATGAAGCACTCTGCAAAGCCATTGGTTTCAACGTCCCCAAAGTCAATCAAATAGATTATATCGCCCGAGTTCCCTCGCATCACTCGAAAGATAAATTGATAATTGTTCGCTATATATCGATACACAAAAGAAGATTTCATTGCAACAGCTCGCGCTAAAAAGGAATTATATGCTAAGGACATAGGATTCACAGGAAGCAAGAACCGCATTTTTGTAAACGATGACCACCTAACACCACACTTTAAATCATTGCTGACAAAGGTGAAGGCCCTCGCTAAAGAGAAAAACTACAGCTATGTGTGGGTGAAGTTCGGAAAAATTCATGTGCGCAAAAACGATACCAGTCATACTTTTATTGTACAAAAAGAAAGTAATTTAAACAAAATTGCCTAATCAACTTTAAGTCCTTATTTTTATATACCTTAATTCTATTAGCATTACTAGATATTGTATTTTGCTGTGACATAAATTTGCTACGCAACTCTGACCTACGTGCCTTCCCTATTGTGCTAATATTTGCTCGGACTCGCACTTGCCAAACCGGTTATTTGTGCCGCTTAACGTCGATTCCGTCGACCGCTTATTGTTTACTTTATACCGGCATATTTATTTGTTTTATTTTTTCGCTTGCTCGTACTCTCTCGCTTATTAAACATTGCTTAATTATTTTTATATATTTTTTACGTATATTTATTTTGAGCTCTGTGCCTATAAATTTTTCATGCCTCTGCCATAAATTTGTGCTTTATATTAAGATTCATTCTTCATTAAAAAATAGATAACGTAAGCGTAACTAAAACTAGTCTAAGCATTTATTATCAAAATGTCCGCGGGCTTCGTTCGAAAACAACGGTATTTTTCCGTAATTTATGCATGAGCACTTACGACATTATAATCCTCACGGAAACATGGCTACTTGATGGAATTTTACACACAGAATTATTCGATGATATATATATATATATATATATATATATATATATATATATATATATATATATATATATATTTTTTTTTTTTTTTTATATATATATATTGTTTGGAAGCGTGATCGCGATTATAGCTTGACCCACCAAACACGAGGAGGTGGTGTATTAATATCTATACATAATTGGCTCGCCTGCACATTACAAGGGAGTGCAACTTCTGTACGTAGTAATATTATTTATTCTGTGCTCTCAGTATATCGCCGAATCTGCTTTCCCCAAGCAGCGATTCTCTGCTTCAGGTCGTCTATGCGCTCCGTCAGTTTTTGCGTTATATCCGGCTGGGACAAATTGGCATTCATCCTGACAGTGCGCACAATCCTTGGCCTGTCATTGCCTGATCTGAAACATATCAGCCGATGAGGGCCCTAGCCTTTGCAATACGTTCTTCAATTACTATTCTTCAGGCTGGCATAGCGCTACTTTGTCCAGTAACACGACCAGCCGTGGAAAATTTGGCACCTATATTACGGCAGACTGCTAGTGCGGCGCCAAAAAGAATTAAGTCTGTCTCGCAAAGGTCCCGGCTGGCTTCCAAATAGGTCACCAGCATAGGGTAAAGAACCCGCACGACAGTCCAATTCCGTTTGCTTAGGGGTATGCGGGGAAGTCGCGGTAGTTTTTCGAGAAGCGTGCTTCGCGTTTCCGACATCGCCTCTTTCAATATGCTCCTCATTTTCTCTAGTTCGTGGGAGACTATTCCACCATCGTCTGAATCAACCACAACTAGAATATCCACGACGGCATTCACGTATGCAGATTGCTGTACAGTTAGTGGCGCCGCATTCCCATCCGTAGCATTTTCATCTGATGAGGGAACAACCTCACATCGTAGTCGTTCGAGTTCGGCGTCACCAAATATGTTGGAGTGCAGAATGTACCGAACTCGGTCTGCCATATTTTGCGCGGTGATGGTTATAGATGACTCCAGCTCAGCGAAAAGTCCTATCCCGATAGGCAATCCCTCCAATTTCTCCCCCCTTTTCCCCAAACACGCCCGCAAAGCGTTGCTATACATAAGGAATGGTTAACGCATGCGGCGTACTCTACCAGTAGCAGGTGCCGATTCCTGGGCGCGCGAAGACCCTGGCGACACCAAATCATCTCCCTGGGTGGTCGTGCAGCACCTCGTGCTCGGCTGGTGGTTCGCATGCTGTCGCGTCTAGCGCCAACTCCAGAAGTGCCCTAACGACCTCCAGGCAGCGGCTCTTTGCACGTCCTTCTATTTTCTATCATCCATGTAACTGGGCGTCATTTAACGGGAGACGCTAAAACCCGGCGCCGTTTCATGGTGAGGCCATGTGCACAAGGAGGCCTTTGAACCTTCAGTTTTTGCTGAAGCACGGTACTAACTCCTCATGGCAAGGTGTTGACTGACTGAGCTGACGTATCAATTTTGTCACATAATTGTTACGTCAGCGAGCGATGGGGTCGTCACTATTATGGGGTATCTATATAGTTTTATCATTTGGTTGGGTTCTATAAATATATATAAGACAATTCGTGTAATTTATAGGGAATCGGCGAAATAAACGTTTGTGTTGCTCTGAAAAAACAAAGTTTTATTAGTATAAATTATTTGTACATTTGTATTTTTCACTTAACTACACCTTACAATAATCACTAAACATACCTGAAAAAACAAAGAAACGACATTAAAAGTTATTACACTTGTCGATTCCCTTTATTAGTTATTTTATTGTTGCATGAATAAGTCAACTAGCGCCATCTAGTGTCAGGAACGAGAGCGAGGGGGAGCATTGAGAAAATGACATCACAAATCGCTCAACTGACAGCGCCTAGTCGAAACTCGAACGCTCGGTATTTTCCGCGTGTTTACTTGAACATTCTGGATATTTCTTTGCTAATTTAAATATATAGGCGCTGCAAGATGCGATGGAAGTAGTGTTGAGTTGGGCGAAACAAGCGAAGCTTCGGAGCGAAATTAAGTGAATTAGTGTGTTTAATTATTAGTGTTTTTAACTTTAATTTGTTTAAAGTAAATTAAAGTGTTAATTTAGGTAATTTTATCGGCAATTTTTATGGTCACGAACCTCAAGCTCGTAACAATTGGTGTCAGAAGTGGGATAAAATCATGCCGATTTTACCTAAGGAGGAAACGGAGGGTGTCCGTACCCGCAGTCAACGCCAGCATGAGACGGACCAGAGGAGATTTGGTGGTGCAACGCCACAGACGTCGGAGGGCCAACTGCCAGCCACGGAGGCTGCGGGCCCGTCATTAGCTCCAACACCTGCAGCACCTGACTTAGGTGCTCTGATGGCGATGCTACAGGAGCAGCTGCAGCGCGGACGAGAGGAACAGGCCCGTCTGTTAAAAGAGCAGCAGGAGGAACAGGCTCGCCGACAGGAGGAACAGGCTCGCCGACAGGAGGAACAGGCTCGCCGACAGGAGGAACAGGCTCGCCGACAGGAGGAACAGGTCCGTCGGTTGGAAGAGCAGCTGCGGGGCGGCCAGGAAGAACAGATGCTTCTCATGAAGGACCTTCACGCTACCTTCGGGAAAGAGATAAGGGAGGTGAAGGATAAGGTTGCTCAACATGATAACCGCCTGTCGGAAGCTGAGACCCAAATCAACCAAGTTAAGAAAACGCTGGATGAACTCAAACTTGGGGATGGAACCACAGCTCCCGTAGTAGCTTCAGCACCTTCGCTACGTGGGTTCAAGGTGCCACCGTTTGACGGGACTTCTTCCTGGTCAGCCTACAAAATCCAGTTCGAGGCTGTTATGAAGGCGAACGGCTGGAATAAAAGTCAGGCCATGACTGCTCTCACACTAGGCCTGCGCGACCAGGCCTTAACAGTTCTGGAAGCTCTCGGTGAGGAAGTGACTTATGAGCAACTCCTTGAGGCATTGGAGGCAAGATATGGCGACGCTCACCTGGAACACGTCTTTCGTGCGCAGCTTAAAGATCGTGTGCAGCGCATCAACGAAAACCTGCAGCAGTGGGCTCTAGAAGTGGAGAAACTGGTGCGAAAAGCATACCGGTCTGTACCTGCGCTCATTGAAGGGAACCTGGTGCAGACATTCATCGACGGCATCCGCGACCTGGAAGTCAGAGCTGCTGTGAGGCTCGGGCACCATGAGACGCTTAAGGACGCCTTGGCCCATGCACTGGAAGTGGAAGCCGTGCGGCAGGATCATCGTTCCCATCGCGTCAGGGAGGTTGCAGCAGCTACAGTTCGCGACCGCAACAAAGGATACAGCCCAAGGTGCTATGGCTGTGGGGAAAAGGGCCATCTTCGATCCAGCTGCACTAAGCCAACCCTAGAAAGGGAAATTGAACGATCTCAGGAGGGTAGTGCGGCCAACAGCACCGCCCAGCAGCAGCAGGGAAACGAGTAAAAGCCAGAACTGCGGGGCGGGTGCTGGCTGATGTTAAAAGAGCCCCAAGGATCTCGATCTCACAAACCCATGATGGGAACAGCCTAATCATAAAGGGCGAGATCAACGGAATGCCGTGTAAGCTGACCATAGACACTGGAGCCTCTCGTACGGTTGTTAGTTCCCAACTTATAAGTCAGTTCCTTGGGGACTCCGCATACAACCGAGAACGCATTAATTTGGTAACAGCCACCGGTCAGCGTATACCCGTCCGTGGAGAGAAGGAGATGGAGTTGAAGCTAGGCAACGTGATCTACCTGCATAATGTCATCGTGGCTGATATAATGGACGACTGCATCCTAGGCCTAGACTTTATGAGGAATAATTGTTGTGAGATCGACGTTAAGCAAGGTGTTTTGAAATGTGGACAGGAGGAACTTTTTATGGAAGGTGCGTTACCAGGGAACGTGTACAGCATTAAGAAGATTGTTCTTCCGCCGAGATCGGAAACGATTGTTCCGGTTAGTCTTCCACGAAACGCTGGGCAAGCTCACCGTTGTGTACTTGTGGAAAGGGTAAACAATGACCTTCCATGGAAAGTAGCTCGAACCTTGGTCAGGACCACTGACATCTCAGGAGTACGTGTGCTGAACCTTTGCGACCGGGAACAGGTTATAGAAAAAGGTACACTGGTTGGTACTTGTGAGGAAGTGGATTGGTTACGTCAGTGCCAATATATATCGAGTGGGACCCCCAGCAAGGATTCAGAAACGAGAGTGACCACACTTTTGGAAGACTGTCGCAGTGTTCTGTCCCCGAACGAATTGGTGAAGGCGAAGAAGTTGTTACTCGAGTACGCCGATGTATTCTCATCAAACGATGCTGACATAGGAAAGACTGGTTTAGTTCAACACAAAATAAACACAGGTGAAGAGTTGCCTATCCGTCAGCGGCCAAGACGATTGCCGGTAGCACGTGAAAAGGAAGTGGAAACCATGATTGAGGGAATGGTGAGGGATGGTGTTATTGAACCTTCATCTAGTCCATGGTGTTCACCCGTGGTACTGGTAAAGAAGAAGGATGGCAGCATGCGGTTCTGTGTTGATTACCGCCGTCTGAACGACGTTACAAAGAAGGACAGCTATCCCTTGCCAAGAATTGATGACACGCTGGACATGCTTACAGGAGTAAAATGGTTTAGCACGCTGGATCTAAAAAGTGGCTACTGGCAAGTTGAAATTGACCCTAAGGACAAGGAGAAAACTGCGTTCTCGACGGGAAAGGGTCTGTGGCAATTCAAAGTAATGCCGTTTGGGTTGTGCAATGCTCCAGCAACGTTTGAAAGGCTGATGGAACTTGTACTTACCGGGCTAATTGGCGATGCCTGTCTGGTCTACTTGGATGACATCATCATCGTGGGCCGTACGTTTGAGGAACACCTTCAAAACCTGGAACGCGTGCTCATGAAGATTAAGAGTGCCAACCTTAAGTTGAGTCCGAAGAAATGTTCACTATTCAAACGGCAAGTCAACTTTTTGGGGTATGTAGTGTCGGAAGAAGGTATCCGCACGGATCCAGAGAAAATCGCAGCTGTAAAGGATTGGCCGGTTCCAAAAGACAAGACGCAGGTTAGAGCATTTTTGGGTTTGTGCTCCTATTACCGACGTTTTGTGAAGAACTTTGCAGATATAGCCAAACCTCTGCATAAGCTAACCGAGGAGAAGCGACATTTCTGCTGGGATGAAAGTTGTAACATCGCATTCCAGGAGCTCAAGGACCGTCTGTGCAAAACACCTATTTTGGGATACCCTGATGCAAGCAAAGAATTTATAGTTGACACAGACGCAAGTGATATAGGACTTGGCGGTGTGTTGTCTCAACGTAATGGTGACCAAGAGGTCGTGATAGCGTACTTCAGCAAGTCGTTGTCAAAACCGGAAAGGAACTACTGTGTCACAAGACGCGAATTGCTAGCTGTGGTAAAATCGTTGCAACATTTTAGCAAATATCTTCTGGGACGAAAATTTCACTTACGAACTGACCATGCTGCACTAAAATGGCTATTGCAGTTTAAAAACCCAGAAGGACAAGTTGCGAGGTGGATTGAACTACTGCAGGAATACGACTTTGAGATCGAACATCGCAGCGGGAAATCTCATGGCAACGCAGATGCATTGTCAAGAAGACCTTGTCCTGAAGATTGCAAACATTGTACTAGGCAAGAGAGTAAGGAAGTGGTATCCGTGAGGATGCTCAGGGCAGACCACCTCAGCAACGAGTGGAAGGACAGCTTACTACATGCACAGCAGGAAGATCCGGACATCAAGCCGATTCTGGAATGGATAAAGGCCAGTGCTCCCAAGCCTAAGTGGAGTGACGTCTCAGCGATGAGTTCGACCACTAAAAGCTATTGGGCCCAGTGGGACAGCTTGCTGCTTCAGGATGGAGTTCTGTGTCGTAAATGGGAAAACGTTCGGGGAGACAGCTGTCATTTGCAAATGGTTGTCCCTAAAGTTAAAGTACCGGATGTTCTACAGCTGTACCATAATGATTGTTCAGGAGGCCATCTGGGAGTTAAACGAACTCTACTGAAGATCCGAGAACGGTTTTACTGGGTCCACTGTCGA